CATTCTTTTCAATATACCAAAAGCCATTTACAAAAAAATGGTCATATAGCAGGCCTAAAAGCAACTCTGTGAAAAAAAAAATCCAAAACCAAAAAATTAAAGGTACAGATGAGAATCTCTAACCACAGTACCATTAACCTAGCGGGGAAAAAAGATAACCAAGTCTCTTCAAGCCTGAAATTAAAAGCAACACCAAGAACATTTCCAAACAACAATAATAATATTACTTCTAAATAACTCCTATGGGTCAAAGAAATACAAATGGAGTCAGAAAATATCTGGCTATCACAAAGATGTATAGAGGATACATAGGTTGTTCTTTGTATTATACTCTATTATTTCCAATAGACTTGAAATATTTCAAAATTTAAAAAAGCATGTTATCAAAAGTAACAAGATAATATTGATTTGTTTCTTTGACATTTGTGGCACTTTCTGGCAAAACTAAATTAAAAATCACTGGAGAGATTTCAAGCGACACAAAGAGCCATGGTCCAATAACTGGCTTCCTCACCATGGCCAAGCTAGCACCTAATGTGCTTCTGTGAAAGTTCCTGAGGGGGAAAAATCATTACTCAGTTCAGTAACCTAATTTGGTTTCAAATAATTGATTTTGTAACAAATCCACCCCAAATATATTAAGATTTGCTAACATTATTTCCCAAGGTAAACTATAGGCTTTAAGACCAAAGACAAGGTTAAAAATGTTCTGAAAAATGGCAACACTTTTAAATTCATACTCTCTCCTTCATCCTGCTCTATGACACCAATCTTGCAAAGGACTACTTGAAAAGAGACAATTATTATTTGAATAAATTCGCTGTGCAATGCTTCAAAAACATTATTTTGTAGCCTCAACTTTAAACAGAAATTATAACTTATGTGAAAAGTTTTCAATTTTATTGTAATGAAAGGTTCAAGATTCCTCAGTTCAGATATATTTCACTTCTTAAATTTAGTGAACTTAATTCTAACTGCATAAAAGTATATTACATATAAAGTAAAACAAAATGTGTTTCCTAAGCTACACAAGGTATATTAGTAAAAGAGACTTAAAATTTTATGTATAAGTATCAAAATAATGAAAATAGGTTAAGGATTATGAAAAGTAACAACAAAAATATGTACAGTA